TTTGTCTTAGAACTTAAGATTTATTTTCTTCTGTTTCTAAAACAATTGTATCTCTTAAGCTTTTTTGTGGAGTTTAAACTGTTTGTTGGTTATATTCAAAGTTTATTTTTCCGTCTCTTTATTACCTTTTTGATTTTTGACAAAGGGGGAGAAAGTAAAATGATTTTGATAATAATTATTCTCATAATATCAAACTCAAACATATATAATGTTGTTGCTATTAACTGTTTGTTTGATGTTTCAATCCAGGAACTTTGAATAAGTTCACTGAGTATTCTAAGATAGGTTGAATATGAAGATCCTGCTAACTAAGGTTGAGAACCTTATGGATGAAATCAACTCTGATTTCATACATAAGAAGTTGTACACTTTGTGGATATATGTGTATATTCAAGCAGATGTACCAAACACAATTTAGAAGTTATAAACTTACTGAAAGTAAGTTAATCTTGCCTGATATCATATTTTTCAGAAGTTGTGAACTTTATGAAAGTATGGAATTCAGACTTAAAGCTTCAGAAGTTGTGCTCTCCTAAAAGGAAGTTAAGTCAACATTCTGATGCATGCTCTGATACAGATATGTCACTCATAATATGTGCTATAAATGTGTGATATATTGGAAAATATCATGTCAAACGCTGATGCTTAAGAAGTAGTAAACTTCTCCATAAGTATAGTGTTTTGGTTGTGATATTATAATCAAGAAATAGAAGTGTTGATACATGATGCGCAAAATTATTCAATCAGGCTCAAAATCAAGTTTTGATTCTTCATCAAATTCTGATAATAATCAGGTTCTGATATAAAGACAAGGTGTTCTAGTCAGACTCTGATGAGTTATTGTAGGGAAGTGTTCCTTCTCTATTTCTATGTTCTGAAAACTCAAAATTTATTTTGTGAGTCTTGGGCTCAGGGGGAGACTCTGAACAAGCATAAATTAAATTTTGGGTTTAATCGATTAAGGGGGAGTCGTGAGTTTAACTCTGAATTTTTCGATTACAGTGATTACCCTTATAAATTGTTCTATCAAAATACATGGTTTTGTCACCATCAAAAAGGGGTGAGATTGAAAGAACAGGAAGTGTTTCTACATCAGGCCTTAAGATTTTGATGACAACTTTACATGGTACCATAAAGAATAATTGTATACTCTAATGGTTTCGTTTTAGTGTGTAGTTGTTGTTGTAATGTTATAACTATGGTATAAAGGCGTGTGACGTCATATGGTTCCAAACATAAATACTACTGGAAGAAAACATGTGGTTACGTGTTACAGTTGAATTCAAGGTTCTAGAATTCATCTTATGCAACGGTTCTTAGGAACGTTGGTACAAGAGGTTCTGATTGTGACTTTGTGATTAAGCTTTGGAGGCCTTCTAAAGCTTTGCTTTTGTGTTTTCCAAACTCTGAAGATTATAAAGACAAGGTTCTGCTGAACAAGTTTTTATGATCTGAAGAAAAGTAAGTTCTTATGATCAAGTGCTGAAGACTCTGAAGCCAAGGTTCTGATGGGACAAGTTCTGAAGACTCTAAGACTTAGGTCCTAAGACTTAAGAGTGATTTTTCTACAGCAAGCTTCAAACATCCAAAATTATCTGAATCCTCTGAAGATTAAAAGAATTTCAAAATGGTTAACATCTGATGGTGTACAAAAGGTACAAAAAGTGCTTTGTATTCTCTATCCTCTAGGGTGGTGTAAGGATAGTTCTTTAGTACTATATGTCAACCACTTTCATTATGACCGTTGGGAACAAATAAACCTTTTCCATATTATCTTTCTACCATTAACGAATCTATTTCTACAAGCTAAGTAGAAAAACATCTATTGAAAATAAGGTTAAAGTTAAACATTGTAAAGTGACAGGCAATGAATAGTATCACTCTGTATTGTCCAAACTCTTACATCTTAATCTATCAGTTGAGACTTAACCATTGATGCAGAAAAGGATTTTTTAATCCTCACAACGTCTCTCTCAAGGCTATAAAAGAAGATCAAAGATTTGAGAAAAAGAGCTCTTGGCCATGAAGCTAAAAAGTAATGGATGTCGTAGTTGTAAAAGTTGCATTGCTAAACATGCTGAAGATCACTACACAAAAATGAGAGGAAAAAAAGAAAGATAAAGAAGAAGAAATCTACAAGATGTTACATAAACTATCATCATATACATCTTGGTAGATCTCAGAAGAAGCAAGGAGTTATTGCTCGTAACTTGCTCAATAAGAAGATGAAGAAGAAGAGAACTACAAGATGCTACCCAACTTCTGGTCAAATACATCATGATAGAACATTATAATTTTCACAAGAGTTGTTGCTCGTATTGTGTTATAGTTCTAATATCTTCATGTAAATTGTTTTAAAACAAGAGTTGTTGCTTGAAATTATGTTAAACAATATGTACTTAAATCATTTGTGTAATCTATTTAGAAGAAAAAATCATGTAAACACAAAACCTTATCAACCATTGTTGATTGATTCCTTGTGTGACCAAGTAAAGGTGTAATCTCAAGAAGACAGTAGTTGCGGCCATTATAGAAAATCTTGATAGGAGATCTTAAGTGATCTGATTCTGTTGGGTCAATGATTGTTATATTTGTTAAATCAGATCACTGAATATATCATTGAAAGATTCTTTGAGTGACTGAGTGAAAGTCCGATCTCAAGAAGATAGTGGTTGCTAGTCATTGTGGAAAATCCTAATAGGAGATCTTAAGTCATCTGATTATGTTGGGTCAATGATTGTTATATTCGTTAAATCGGATCACTAGACATATCATTGAAAGGTTCCTTGAGTGACTGAGTGAAGGTCTGATCTCAAGAAGACAGTGGTTGTTGGTCATTATGGAAAATCCAAATATGAAATCTTAAGTGATTTGATTATATTGGATCAATGAATGTTATATATGTTAAGTTGGATCACTAAACGTGTCATTGTCTGTTAGTCTTCGGCGGTTGCCCGTATATTTGTAATCAATTTGGTTATAGTGGATTAAGTCCTTGTTAAATGCAAATCACCTTGAGGGATGGACAGGATTATCCTTGTTAAGGTGAACTTGGATAAATCGCTTGTGTTCTTTACTCTTCATTGTCTTTATGGCTTTTTTCATTTGAGTGATTAGAATTTCTAAAGAGGAATGTTTTCTATAAACCCAGTTCAAACCCCCCTTTCTTGTGTTTTCTCTACCTTCAAGACTATCCTACTGTTTATTTTTACCGCTAACGTTTGTAAGGATTATTCTCATCCCCTTTTTGTTTTTTGTGTGGCTTTACACCTATGTTACAGATTCAGATAGTGAATAGTGCTATACAGTTAAGGAATGATTGTCACTGAATTCTTCTTTACTTCCGTTTTGTTTTAGTACCATTTGTGTCGCTCTGGTATTGCAACACAGGGGATTGGACACTATTTATTTTATATGGATGATTATTTACTTGTTTGTCATAAACTGATTTGTATTTTCAGTAATTTTTATTTATGAGACTATGTGATGATGTTGCAAAAGGTTTTATTTTCCGCTGTAAACTGTTTAATTCAATAACAAATGTTTTATTTGAGAATGCATGACACCCTTGGGTGAATATATATTTGATTTAATTGAATTATATGTTGAGTCGGGAATATGGTGTTACCGAATCTGGCAGGATATTCTCTTAAGGATTTAGAATTCCCCTGGCGGGCATTAAATATGCTAGTTGTTGAAACCTTACAGTGCTTATTCCCTAAAAATCGAGGAATTAGTTTCCCCGCGATATCTTGATAGGTGGTTGCTAATAAGAGGTGTGGGAGGTTCATATACCACCTCAAAGTTTCTTCCATGAAAATACAAGACAAAAGCTTGCATTTCAAAGGATCTCTAGCGCCAATTATCTTCATATGAGTATTGATGGTAGCGACGTGCTCCTGGCGATCACTCTTTCCATCAAACATAACCAATGATAGAGGCCTTAATTTCTCTAGCACTAGAGTGACTCATATTTCATCAGAGAGATGTTGGAGGTCCAAGATATTTACTTCTTCAGGCGAGTTATCTTCGTGCCTCCGTTGTTGAAGAGTCAAGATGTTATCTGCTAGGAATTGGTTGTGGCAGCACATCTCCTCCATAGCAACCCACATCTTTGTTATGGTCTCGTTGTCACAACTACGACTGCTAGTTGTTGTGGTGCCTTATCGTGTCACCATATTAAGGAAGATGAATGAGGTGATTGAAAGTTACATGCAAGTGTGAGGCGCCATGGTGGACGCAAATTATATTTGTGAAAAATACAATAGGGTGACAAACCTCTTATTCCTAAGAGAAAGAAAGAGAGTTTGTATATGATGAATTTGTGAAGTGAATGATCCTCCCCGCCATCAAGATTGGAATATTTTTAGTTGTACTATGGTCAGATCGTTGGCAACAATTGGTCTTTCCTTAACTCCTCGGTGAATACGAAGGAAAGAGATTTGTTCTTTCTCCTAGATCAGAGGAACGACTCCTCCTTTGTAGTATTGATTAAACCGACCCTTTCAAGAACACCACATCTGTCACACATTGAGGTAGTTAGCTTTTAATAGATTTTGAATCGGGTCAACAACCTAAATTCCAAGTGAGGCGGATCGAGTTGGCCGACCCAAGTTCCAAGCGACGCCGTCCGAGTCAGACGACCCATGATTTGTCGTATTGTGCCCGACCGTTTAGTTTTGTGGCCCTTTCATGATGCCTTTGGGTTGATTGAGTCATGGGTTGTTCTTCTCTATTATCCGAATCCAATCCTAAATTTTGTTGTTTGACCCTTGGCGAAAACCAAAAATCATATATAAATATACAAATATAAACACTAAAAATGTTTATGCCATTGATATATATATATATATATATATATATATATATATATATATATATATATATATATATATATATATATATATATATATATATATATATATATATATATATATATATATAAAATAACTCACAAATCAATGCTCATTTTTAGTTGAGATTGAGCCAATACATACCAAATGGCTTCTCATCATATCCAATATTTCATTGTTATTCTTATGGCTATATTTCTCACAATTCATTCCCATGAAGAACTAACTCCTGATTTTTACAATGATGTTTGTCCCCAAGCATTGCCAATTATTCACTCAATTGTTCTCCAAAAACTTAACATGAAACCACGCATGGGAGCACATTTACTACGCTTGCATTTCCATGACTGTTTTGTCAATGTAAGATATACATACATATTCATCTATATATTATTATTCATAAAATATTACTTTAAACGTTTATGATTACAAAACCAAACTATAGGGCTGTGATGGATCGGTTCTGCTGGATGATACCCCTAACTTGATAGGTGAAAAGAATGCCATCCCAAACATTGATTCCCTTAAAGGATTTATGTTGGTTGATATAATGAAAGCAGCTATTGACAAAGCTTGCAAAAGTACTGTTGTATCATGTGCAGATATATTAGCCATTGCTGCTCGTGATTCCGTCTCCATTGTAAGAATCATAGATGCAACTATAAACCTTTTTCTGAAACTAGTTCAAGGATTTTTCAAGTGATTTAACTCTATTTATTTTTTGTTTCATAGTTGGGAGGTCCACGCTATTGGTACCAAGTGCTGCTAGGAAGAAGAGATGCAAGAGATGCTATAAAGAAAGATGCAGACTTTTATCTTCCTTCACAGCTTTTCAATTTCTCTCAACTTCTCTCTAATTTTGAGCTTCAAGGCCTAAACCTTAAAGATCTCGTAGCACTCTCCGGTGCTCATACAATTGGAATGGCTAAATGTTCTAGTTTTAGGGAAAGGATCTACAATGACACAAACATAGATCCCCATTTCGCCATTTCCATGCAAGAAAACTGCCCTAGAAAAGGCTGTGATGACAATTTTGAAGCATTTGATCATGTCACTCCTAATAAGTTTGACGATTCTTATTACAAAAATTTGATTAATAAAAAAGGTTTACTACATTCTGATCAAGAACTCTATAAAGGTGATGGTAGTGAAAGTGATAGATTGGTGAGACGTTATAGCAGAAACCCACATGCTTTTGCTAGAGACTTTAAAGCTTCTATGATTAAGATGGGTAATATAAAGCCTCTTACTGGAATATATGGAGAGATTAGAACAGATTGTAGCAAAGTTAACTCATAATTACATGGTTTAAATGAGTGATTTAGGTTTATGTATTGATGATGTGATCTTGTTCAAAATCTAGACAAGTTTGAAGAAACACAAGAACCCTAATATTTATAAATAATAATTACTCACTCTTTAATGATTCAAGTTTTTTGCTTCTAATTAGGTCCTAAAATCTTTTAGTTATTAATGTTCAAGTATTTGTGGCCGCACAATGCATGCAAAGACTAATCCCGCGAGATAACTGAGATCTTATATGATTAAACATGCATGACAAATTTTTTATGAAAGATAATAAATTTACATGTGTTTTCATCCTAACTAAATTAGATGACACTTAGAATTAACATATGCAAACAAACCAAGTGGTCAATCATTTCTAAGTTCTACTTTCTCATGATATGTGGTTATTTACATCATCACACTCCAAAGCATAAGAAAATACATCTCATACACAATGAGATTGAGAGAAAGAAATATTAAAAAAAAATTATGCTAGTAACCTATCCAATCGATTGATCCGTGAGCCAGCACGTCTACGCTTCAATTATTTGAGTTATTCGAGCGATGTTTCAACCTTGTTCTAACAGTTTAAACCAATTGAACCGTGATTTGGAGGTTTCACCGGTTCAATATTTGGTTCCATTTTCAAAACATTTTGTACAAGATCACGTGCGCCAACACATTAGGATGCCAAAAGGGGAAACCTCTTGTGACCTATGAATGCCTTCCTAAAAACATTATAACCATTTCTATAGTGCTCAAGTGAAAAGCATAACTGTCTTATTGCCTCGCGTTTCTCTTCGGCTCCTTCTAATATCTCAATCTTTTGCCTCTCAATCTCATCTTCTAGTTCCCTTGCTCTTGATTCTAGTTCCACCACATGTCTATTTGCCTTTACAATCTCCTTACCTCTTGAATTCATCTTTTCTTTTAGTAAACCAACTTCTTCATTGAGATTATCTCTCTCTAATATTAAACATCCAAGTCTCACATTAAGATCTTCAACATTAACCTTTCTTTCTTGAATCTCTCTCTCCATGTGATTATGTTGTTCCAACAATTTACGTACTTCGGCCTTTAACTGTGATCTTTCAAAGAAGGTTTTCTGTTCCGTCTCGGACAAAAGAGCTTTTAAATCCTTGATCTCATGTTCTCTTTCTGATAGACTTGTTTTCAACCTTGAAACTCTTTCTTGGAGTTTTATGTTATCACTCTTCTCAGAAATGAACTTAGTTTTCCATGTAGCAGTTTCCTTGTGAGCCAAGTTAAGTTGATCCTGCAATTGTTCACTACTTTCATTTGATTTTCTTGTCTCAATTTTCAATGAACCTATTTGCACCTCAAAATTCTCAACTTTTTCTTTCGCCAATCTAAGCTCATCTTCGAAGAATTTGAGATCCCTTTTCGTATTAAGATCCTCTTCGGTTGATGTTGATAATTCCTTAGTACCAATGGCGCAGAGGTCTAGCTCGGATCGACCTTGACCTAGTCTTGAACAAGTATTATCGTCCAAATGAGCCGATGAGGATTCCATTGACTTGTATTTTTCAACCTCAATCTCAAGTTTGTGATTTTTCTCTTGTGAGAGCTTCAATTCTTGTTCATATGCATTGATTTTGATACCATCTTCACTACGCTCTTGTTCTTGTTGTTCATACACTAAAATCTTGTCTTTCACCTCACGCAACTCGATTTCCAATTCAATAACCCTTTTAGTCATGCCATTATCACTTGCATTCCCAAAGAAACCGGAATAACTATTGATAGACGAAGCATCGTCGTATTCATACTCGCTATCCGACAAATTAGAACATGCATCACCATCTTTTGGACATGATGACTCATAACCATTATTATTTCCACCAGCAGAACCTAGAAAGAAATCGAACCCTGCAGCGCGAGTACTCGATATTCTACGTACCATTTTTCTAGGAGAAGGAGGAGGCCAAGAAGAAGGTGGTTCTGAACCATTATCAGAAACACCACCTGAGGCTTGAGATTGAATATCAGAAGGTATGCTTTTCCACAAATCACCTGCTGCAGGCTCGTATCGTTCGACTAATGATCGATAGCCGCGGTAAAACTCTTCCACAAGAGAAATCAATTCTGGTCTCTTTTGGTAATACATTTCAGCTTTCTGTGCAAATGAATCTCCATTATCTTCAATAAGTTTCATCATTTGTCGAACATTACGATCCATTTCGGATGTTAGAGATCTTTTTGTTGATTTCTTGTGAGTCATTGTGATGAAAAAAATGATTATGATGGCATGTAGAAGTTTGTTACAGATTAACCACCTTCCCTAACTGTGTTTGAGAAAATGGTTAATCCTTTTCTTTCAATGAATATTGAAGGAAGAATGAAACAAGATTTTGTTTACATGAAACAAACATTGATTTGTTTTTACTTGTTTTAACTTTTCCTTGTTTAGAATAACCTTTTTAAAAGGAACTACAATATTGTTAAAAGAATATATGATAGAATTTAATTAAGAAAATAACCTTTTTGATTTGTTCCGTTAATATCTATATTGTCTCACCAAGAGAAATACACAACATTGTAAAATATACTTATTGCCAATTTTATTTGATATATGTAAAGTTTTTACAATGTCATATAAACCTATCATACTGTTATGCCACTTATATAAATTTTACACAATGTAAGATGTGGTAAGTATTGTACTATAAATAACAGGCTCATTAAACATTTATTAAGTTTATTTTTCCTTTCTATTTAACTAACATTATTTTCAATATTGTATAACAACTTTTAATATATCTAAACCTTATTTTATAAGATGATATTAAAGGCTCGCTTAAGATCTATTGGATCATCTTCTATCACGATTTCGATGTCGAATCACCTACGACTTATATCCACTTGCCAAACTCTATAGTGATGGGCATGACCGGTATGTTAAGAATCCGACATCATATAATATATGGTTTAAATATATGTTTATAAGTGAGGACAATCCTAATCTTACAAGCCGGTTTTGTAGGGATGAGTTAGACACAACTCAAATTTTAACATGGTATCATAGAGCTCTCGATTTTGCAACCACACTTTTGTGACCACGCCGCTTTTTATTGGACAATTTTTCCCCACCCCTATGTCTTCTCATAAACCCTTGGTAAAAACCAAAAAATGTCCCTAGAGTTCGGAGATGCAACTTCAGACGCACCTATTTCCCATTATACTTAATTTTAGTTCAAATACGCATCTCTAAAATTATATCAGATATGCTTCAGAGATGTATATCCGAAAATAGCACTGATACTTCAATTGAAAAATAAAAAACAGAGACAGTATGAGTATGAGCAAGCTCTACAAACCATAACAACTTGACATTAAATTAAAACATTCAACATTAAATAGATAATTGATAATTAAAAATTTAACATTACATATTGTCATAAATTGGTGTTTAGGATGTTGTAACATGTTGATAATATCTTCGACAGATATTACAATCTTTACATCCACTTCAATCGAGTCTTTGTTGTTAGAACATAATTTAGTTCTACAGCCCACCAAGAGTCTTGATGATAACAAACACATGATATAAAGAACAAATATGCTTGCTAATAATAAGTATCTTTACATGCAGAAGTTCTGATGTGAAAAAGATGTTCTAATGCAACTGGAAGATCTGCCAGAACATCATCAGAAGTTCTGATTATGCAAGCACAGAAGTTAAGTGGACCATGAAAGATTCAGCAGCATCAAATATGCATAACGCGTTTATATGAAGAAGTTCTGTTTGAACTTCTGAATGCACCAGCGCAGCAAAACAGAATATCTGATACTGTCTCTCAAGCGTTACAACTCCATCAATGCAAGATCATATGCAACGGCTACAAACAGACAAGAATCTCTTGTTTTGGAAAGCTCATTAAACGCGTGTTATGGACATACCAAAAGTATCTTCTTGTGTCTCTATTGCAAAGCCTATATAAAGAAGACTAGAAGAAGATTTCAGATGAGATGAACAACGACACAAAACGTGAAAAGTTAGTAAAGCTACAAACAGTCTTCAACTTCATCAATTCATTATTAAGCTGTGTAATACATCACAAGTTTGTGATAGTGTTTATTTAGAAACACCTCTGTACACTTTTATACACAATTATCTATTTAGTGTATTTCCTTGAGGAAACCGGGTTGTGGTTTTGGACTCAAGAAGGCTTTAGCAGTTGCTAAAGCAGTTGTAATATTCAGTTGAATATAGTGAATTAAGTCCTCGTTGGAGAGAGGCGAAATCACCTTGGCGGGTGGACTGGAGTAGTTTGAGGTCAAACAAACCAGGATAAAAATACAGTGTTGTCTGCATTTGATTTCCAGTTTTACAATTCAACCCCCCTTCTTGTGTTTTTCACTTCTTCATTTGTTGTATAACAGCGAAAAGTACTCCACATAACATCTAAATTTGCATTCATCTTCAGTTCGAAGTTGGTGAACTAAATCTTCCTGTCATTGTCAAACGAGGGTGAACGATACTCGAGCTTGACAGCTTGTGAATTTTCTAGATATCGCAGGAGAGTATTCAGTTTGGATATCAAGTCGGCAAGAGTTATGTTCTCACCGACCCTAAACTAAAGTGACAGCTTCTCACCATTGAAATACACAAATGCAAGGTAGTGTTATGTATTCATTCCTGATTTTGGATACTTTGTAGAAAATATGGGATGAGAGACACCCTATTTATACAAGTCATGGATCACTTTGGACCTTAGAAACCTTATCATGTCGTTAGAGCACTTTTCAGAAATGAATATCCGAATAAACCCTATTATTTTATGAAAAAATGTTTATTGGGATATGCACATCCGAAAAGTTTCATGTTATTTTTTTAATTAGAATGGGATTTATCCAGATATGCATATCTGGAATGAACCCTGAACCAAAAACAGACCAGAAACTTAGAAAACATAAACAGAAGTTGTAAACCATAAAATGTGTAAACATAAGTAGTCTACATTTACGCCATAATTGTTAAATATATATTACTTATGTATTAAATCATATCAAGATAACATCGTTGAGGATCATAACATTCAAAAAGGTGTATCGATTACCATCTAAAATGCATCAAAAGATGCTTCGCTGCTAAAATCTATGATTGGTTCCTCCTTCGACTTTTCCTTATTTGATTCTCTTTCAAGCTTGCTTAATTTGTTGAACTCTTCCATCCTTTCCAGAAATTGATTCGATCAAGTTTAAGCCTCTTTTGTGAAATGTGTCATCCATTCAAATGATGTACTTGGTATAGGACACCTTGGTTTCAAATAAACCTCAACAAAATGTAGGGATTTTGAAAGCCACCCTATACACATGATGCATACGAAGGAACTTTAGGTGGGCCACTCTAAAGTAGAAAAAATGTCTCAGAGAAACCATATCTTGTCAGATCAATACACACCTTATCATATGCACTTGTTATAAGATGGATCATTTCAGGGAAGTGCATCCATTTTGAAAACGGTGTGGGACCACTAACACAAGGAGTATGAGCATCTTGAATTGCATCAAAATTCTTTTTTTCTCATATAGATTTGTGTAGAATTTCCTATGCGTCATCAACTCTGGCAAAAGTTATTGGCGAACAAGAAAGTGATTGTCTCATCCTTTGTCGAGCAAGCCAGATACGGCCCGATAACTGTAATTACCATATTTTGTACCCCAAAGTTTGCCCTCTCATTTCTCAAAGGATCACTCTGGATCCTCAGGTTTGCTCTCATCCAATTTCAAGCCTTGATTTACAAATTTTTCAAGAAAGTCATTCACGAGGGTAAAATGGTCATTTGTGCATTGAAAAGTCAAACTTTGACTTTTGATCAAAATCAAGTTTCAAGAGTCATACTTCATCAAGACATGTTGAGATATGAAGTTTGTTTCATCTATAAATTCAAAAGTCAAAAGTTACTTTGGAAAAGTCAAATTTCTAAATACTTAGAATTTTTCTAAGTGTTTAAGAAATATGACAAGCTCAGAACTTCTGATCAGATTATCACCATGATGCAAGCTGATTCTGGAATAATTTCTAACTCAAGAGTTTTAGATTTCAATAAGATCTAAAACACTACAGAACAAAACTTCTCCTAGAAATGTTGGGATTTCAAGTTATGACTCCTCAAAGACATGTCCATGAAACTGAAGCATTCAGCAAATTCTGGACACTTTCAAGACAGAGTTTGATCAAAACTTCTGGGCCCGTTTTCACAAAGGTTCAGTCATAGTTTGCAAGGGTAATTCAAAGAAGGTTATAAAGCGTACTGCAAGCTTCCTGGAAAGTCTGAGAACTCCTTCAGTGCTGGAGCAAGGAGATACAAAGATCAGAAGTTGTTTGTTCATTCTGAATTATGTTGAAACTGAACCTCTGATCCATAATTAAGCAATGGTGTAGAATCCCACATTGCAGGATTTCTGGTTTGATCAATATCATCATCATTTAATGCTCACAACCACTTCTGGGTCTTTGTCCAAAGGATTTCCCCATGTATGGCATAGAAGTACCATTATTGTCTTGGAAAAGCAAACTCTTGTACAAAAGTATTTTGAGCCCATGCTTTGCTTTTGCCTCTGAGGGTACTCTTCTTTAATTCACACTTACAAACCCAGCTTAGGCATGGCTAAAAGCTACTAACCACCATGCTTGCTTCAAGAACAAGGCAGCACCTTAGTATATGAAGGCTATATTCAACGCTTCGGTCAGAACATGACCAAATCCCAAAACCGTGTTTATACAACCTGCTGGACTGCTACAGCACAATCCTATAACCAACAGCTAATTCATCCTACGTCTGCCTCCCATAATTGTATCAAACTAGCATACAAAGACTGTGATCAAAAGGCAAGGGAACATGATGCCAAAAAGTTTCAAATCCCATTTGTTTTCCCAAAAAAAAATCACAACAAATCCACCTATAAATAAGTTGCTCCATCACACTTGTAAGGGGCTGGCTTTTGGGGGAGAGAGAGAGAGAGAGAGAGAGAGAGAGAGAGAGAGAGAGAGAGAGAGAGAGAGAGAGAGAGAGAGAGAGAATTATCAAAGAAAGAAAAGGAAACAGTAAAAACCTTCGCAAATCCTAAACAAAACCTTTGTTCTTCACTTTGAATCAAAGAACATAATCATTGTTTTGTTACTCTCGCTGATACCAGAACAATCTGAAGGCATAAGCTCAAAGTTCCAAACACACATTTCAGATTCAAGGTAAGTCTTTCTGACTTTGCATCTTT